CTACAGGGGTAGGCTCCCGGGTTTTTTTGACATGCTCAGTAACTCTATAGGAGGCTGACAGAAAATTTGAGAATTCTCCTTCAGCTTGAAATATGAGTGTTGATAGTTAATGGGATACCTTTATTCAGTCCTTCTGGATTTGCAGGTTATAGTGAAGTTAGTATGCGTATTTGACCCCTGTCTTCAACTTTACAGGGCTGAAATTAGTACTATTTCTCCAAGAAAATCCACTACCCTATTAGAAACGCTATAAAGATTTCTTGTTGGGAATACAGCTGAAGAATTTTATTTCATGCCTATCATGTGGATTGCAAATGTAATCCATAGTGCTACATTATGTATGACACCTTTAATACAAGAATAGAAACATCCCTAGAAGACAAAATAGTGCATTCATACTTCTGGTCACAAACCACAAACTACCGCAGATATTACTTACTTGCAAATTTCAGGCTCTAAATTGTTGAAACTTAGAAAAAAGTCCTTTGAATGTAACATCAAATGCAAAATGATAATCTGTCATTAAATATCTGCAGATAGTGAAGAAATTTGAAAAAAGATATTTAATATGCTTTAGCAAAAGAAAGCAAAAAGAACTCATAGTAATTGACTAAAAATTAGTTCAGGTTGGTTAATCTTGATATCATCTGGTTCAGAATCCCCAGAGAACCTTTCATTAAACAAGGAACTTTAGCTGTGGGTTTTTTTTTTTAATATTCAAAAACCCAAAACTTACTTTTCCAAACTCAGTTGCTACTACTATAGGCTAGAGGGTAATGGTGTAAATAATTCTGTGCTTAGATCTTTTCCTAAGTATGATCACACTGAACACATAAAACACATGTACATACACATACATCACATTCATTTATAGAACCCAGTTATGAAGAGGCTTCCCTACCTTGCTCTTCAATTATTAGCTCTGTCTACCCTGCTGTTTGGAAAGAAGAGGAAGAAGGGCCAAAATTAGGAGCAGGGTTTACAGTGACTTATTGGACCATATGCTACCCTTCTCAGGCATTAGAAAGCTCAGTAAAGAAAAGCCAACTCCTTTCCTTGATAGAGCAGGTGCCCTGACTTCGACCCTTACTATTAAGTCTCAAAATTATTTTGTTTGCTATAACCACATGGCACCCATGTTACATTTTTATTGTTGTGGACCAAAACTTGAAAAGGTTCCCCTTGAGTGGTCCTTAATTTTCTGTATTCATTTTAACAGAGTTGATTTGTAATTACAGATGGTCCCTGACCTAACAATGGTTCAGTTTAGGATTTTTAGACTTCACGATGGTGCTAAAGCCATATGCATTCAGTAGAAACCATACTTGAAATTTGAATTTGGATCTTTTCCCGGGCTAACAATATATGGTACGATACCCTCTCGTGATGCTGGGCAGCAGTAGGGAGAACAGCTCCCAGTCAGCTTCACCTTCACAAGGGTAAACAACCATACACTTAGAACCATTCTGTACCCATACAACCATTCTGTTTTTCACCTTCAGTACACTCTTCAATATCAAAACTTTAGTAATAAAATAGGCTTTGTGTTAGATGATTTTGCCCAGGTGTAGGTAGGTTAATGCAGGTGTTCTGAGCACATTTAAGATAAGCTAGGCTAACTGTAATATTCAGTAGGTTAGGTGTATTAAATGCATTTCCAACTCTCCATTTTCAACTTATGATGCCTTTATCAGGACATAACGCCATTGTAAGTTGAGGAAGATCTGTAATTGTGTAAAGGTAGATATAATCTCCTGTGATGACTATTTTTATTTGAGAGTATAGGAATTTTGTATGACAGCACAGTTAGTGTAGAATATATGTGCAGTGCTCATATGCATCCGTTCTGGATTTTAAAGAGTTTCATAGGTTATAGTCTTCCAGACCAAACTTAATTCCAAGCTTTCTGTTTATAATATTGTCCAATTACCAAAGCTGGGATGTATTATCACTGCTAGTTACTCATGCTGTCAATTTGTTTTGGCTCAACTATGGTTCTATTTGTACTTTACTGTAATATAGTGAATACACTGGATTGGGTTGTTAGTTTAACAAGCTCTCTGGAGAACACTTCCATGATGATGCATGTTGAGATATGCTAGGTAGCCTTAAAGTTATTTGCGTATTTGCCAAAACCTACAGAAATTCATTCATTAGGAATTTTAAAAAGGATCAACTCTCAACCCACAGATTGAGGTAAAGATTACATTTGTTAATATGGGAGTGTTAATTCACGAGTCCCAGCTAAATTTCTTTAGGGGTTTCAATTTGACCAATTTCTCCCTTCTCTCATAATTTTACTGGATGAATTATTTTATGTCCTTTTAAAAAAGTATTCTGATAGTTATGCTGTTATTGAATCTTGCACTCCATGCAGCTCACAATGTTGTGGGTGCTTCGTGATCTTGGCCAGATATTGAACTGGGAGTTAAAGAAAATGTTTTCAGAGATTGGAACTGACTGGGCTGTTAATATTTACATTGTGTTCAGCTGGTTTTAAAATGTGTGCTAAAATTGCTTCTATGCCCACCCCCACCAGTTGCATCAAAATTTCCGGAGTCTGGGTCTGGGAATTTGTTTTGAAAATGCTCCTTTGAACTTTCTAGATTCTGGAAATGTTCTAATATTTTTATCTGATGGTTGTTACAAAAGTATATATATGTTAAAAGCCTTCAGTGTGTCTCTTTAAGATTTGTGCACTTCATTCTAGTATTTCATTCTTTCTGTAATACCTCTTTTTAATTTTTTTTTTTAATCAAGTAAACTCCCAATGCAGGGCTTGAACCCATGACCCCGAGATCAAGAGTCACATGCTCTACCGACTGAGCCAGCCAGGCACCCCTTGTAATACCTCTATTAAGAAAAAGGTTTTTTAAAAGAGACACATTACTCTCTTTATTTCATCAAACAACTTGCAGTGGTTCTTAATAAACACCATTAATTGCCCACTGTTCACACAGTCATGACCCAAGAGTAGATGACAGAGTGGGTCTTGGCTCTTGGGAGCATAAAAATCTGGTGATAGAGAAAGTGATGATAAATAATATAAAGCTTTATAGCTTATGAAGTCTTTTTGTACAGATGATCTCATCAGCACTGTGGCTTTTAGGCAATTTACTATCCCCACTTTTTTGTTAAACTTATCCCGGATTACTCAGCAAGTAGGGAGTCGTTGCAGGACTTTAAATTAAGTCTTCTATAACAGCCTGTAATTCCCCAGAAATAAGAATGCTTCAGTTAACAACAACAAAAACCAAAATCAAAAACCTCACATGGAGGCAAAAGCTAAAGTGTTTTTATGGAGCTGTAGAAGCCATTATTCAGAGGGTTCTTAATGGATATGGGATTTGTGTCAGATTTTCCTACAGCTCATTGTCACTCCATGTTGCCTATTTTTCATGTCACAGTTGTCCATTTGGACTCTGGAATTTTAGTATGTTAAGCTTTCTCTAGTGATTGTAATGTCTGTAGAAAAAAATTTCAACTGAAATGCCTTGCTCTTTTAGCCTTTCTAACTTTGGTTTATTCTTGCCTCATTTTCAAATTCTTGAGAAGTATTTCCAGGAGATGCTGGCCAATGGTGAATCTTGTTCTTCCTGATTACATTTAGCAGGTATTATTTGTTCCATACTCTTTGGCACTTGGTCATTTCCCATCCAACTCTTTATTACTGTCATGTATTGTTCTTTATGTACACAAATTTTGTCTTCCTAAAAGGATTATAAGCTCCCTGAGCATGAGACTATCCCATGTGGTGGCACATAGTAGGATTTTCTAAGTGCTCTTTGACAGTAACAATACACTTGCTTGGTTTTTCCTTCCTTTTCCTGTTTACCTTCTGTGTCTTCTTACGCCCACTAAAGTATGCTGCTGTTACGGCCTTGGTGTAGGAAAGAATGGACTAATGAACTTCTTAGGTGGGATCTCTAGGTTCCTAAACCCATAGATGGTGGTAGCATAAACTCTAGGAATAGGGCTCAGAGCTCAGAGCTCTTTCACCTTTCTTTTCTTTTTAATGGGTAACTTCAGTGATAGGAAGTCTTGTCATAGTTGGCATACAACTATGCCAAGAAACCATATTTCCCTTTGCTAGTCCTCATCATCTGAGGAGCCTTTCAAAATACTGTAACATTTGCCTGTGTGTTTTATTCCTTTATGATCATCATCACTGCCCCTCCTAGGGCATGTAGAGAACCATTGGTATTCATGTTTATACAGTAACTTCCTATTTCAGAAGGTAGGGCATGTCCCCAACATGGGACGGTTGGAGTATATATCAATATCAACTTAAGAATTTGTTGGTGGTCCTGATTTTGCAGAGTGAAATTACTGCTTTTCAAGCCTTCACCCAGTAACTGACTGTATCTCTTGCATACTCTTGAATTATGCTTATCCACCAGATCTCTGGGCTCACAAAGATTCCATAAAAGGCCCCTCTTCCTATCATATTCTTATAATTAAGCCAGATACTCTTCCTTGTTCAGTAATGCTCTCTTTATATATTAAAATGATCCTTAGTTTTTTTGTAAAACAGTGTTTTGTTCCTTAGGGAGTTTCCCCTCTTTAAATAAGGCTAGTTTTGCAATATATTCAAAGGTGGGGTGACCACTGAGATCAACTTCAGAGGGAGTGCTCCTGCTTATTGCTCTGTGGAAAAACTCATCTCTCCAAACCTACTGGTGATTTCCTCTCACGGGGATTGGAATTCTAATTAAAATTTTATCCTCAGCTTCTGAACATTATGACACTCCATTGTTATTTATGAAAAACACGTTATGATATAGAAAGAATATGGACCTATAGTCTGAAGAGCTGAACTGAAATAAGGTCCTTAGAATTAACCTTCCACCACCACTAGCACCTCCATCTTTCTCACTGCCCCTCTTCATGCATATTTGCAGGTTGATCCCTGCCTCTTTGACTTTCTCTTTATCCAAGATAGCAACTTTGGGCATTTAGAAGATATGTCCTGACTGATGTGCCTGCCTTTCTGTTTCTAGGTGGGCCATGCACAGACACAGCTCATGTCTCGTTAATCACACCAACCAAAAGATCCTGTGGTACAGGTACGTACATCATTCTTACCTGGATTCGTTCTTCCCTGGATTCTTCACAGAAATTAGCTACTGGTTTTAACATGGTGTCTTTGCCAGGGTACTCTCTAATTTCTTCCATCAGTTGTCAAGTGATGTATTATGTGCTAAGTATTGGGAGTGGAGGTGGAGTGACGAGGGGTTGGAGTTGTGCTCTTTGAGGTCAGATGGGTATTAAAATTTACCTACTTCCTAATGTTTGAAGAATATTATTAAGACATGAAACATACAGAAAATACAGATAATTGCCTGGTTTCTGGCATGTATCTAATTTGTCTTAAGTCTTGGACCTACTACAAGAACATTATTTAAATATTGGAGCTGGAGAGTGAAAGAAGTTTTGTAGTACAGATAATGAATATTTTAACTTGACAATTACAGTATCCTAATAGTTTTAGAAAATATTTTCTCCCCTTCATCTTAAAGCCATGGGGTGTGCTGAAATCATTCTTTTTAGATGCATGGAATCCCAAAAACATCTTTGTGCATCTGTGACATTTTTATTAAACATGAAGTCATGAATCTTGTAGCTTTCTGAAGAGCAGTTGTAAATGCCCATTGCTCCCTTAGTCTGTAGCTTAATTTATTTTAAACAATATTTGCCTTTTCTAATAATGCTGCCTGCTATTTAAAATATCTTAAAGATTATATTTGGGAGAGTCAAAGTAATTATATTGTTTTTCTAAAGGTCACAGAGTCTTTTTCTTTTTCTTTTTTTTTTTAAAGATTTATTTATTTGAGAGAGCGAGAATGAGAGAGAGTACATGAGAGGGGGGAGGGTCAGAGGGAGAAGCAGGCTCCTCGCTGAGCAGGGAGCCCGATGCGGGTCTCGATCCCGGGACTCCAGGATCATGACCTGAGCTGAAGGCAGTTGCTTAACCAACTGAGCCACCCAGGCGCCCTAGAGTCTTTTTCATAACTTAAAAAGTCCTTTTAACTCCCAAGCAGAAATAGCACAAACTATTTCTGTGTACAAAGTTAAACTAAAGCCTCAGTCCCTTTAATGCTCATAGTTTTGATGTTAAACCTGAAACAGGTCTGTCCTTGCACAGTTTCAGAGTAACGTCCAGGCAATTTAATTTTACTCCTCTACACCAGTTTTGAGGCAGGGGGTGTATGAGATTGTCCTGGCATGCTCTCATCCCTCCTGTGCCCAGTACCCGAGCTCCCCTGGGTAGTTCCTGGTTGAGGGAGAAGAGAGCTGTGCCCTGGGGTAAGGCCATCCTGACCGGCCAGTGGGAAGTCAGAGAGCCAGCTTCCTACACCCACTCCAGGCAGAAGCTTGAACACACTCAGAGCCCTTTGATTTCAGGCCCAACACTTCACATGCACAGTATACTTTAGTCCTTCTTCTTTCCTTTCTTTCAGTCTTGGCTCTCAGGGCAGAATTTACCATTGGCACTACTAACGTGTTGAGGTAGTTAAGGAATGGGCCTCGAATACATTGGGTCATCCTGAGAGATTTAGAAAGGAGGCTCATGTGGTCAGCGTAGACACTGGTATTAGTAGGAACGCTTCCTGAATATCATGTGCTTTTGTCCTTCATTTTCTAGGCAGATCTCTTTCCTCTCTTTTGCTCCCATACGATTTTGTTTATCTAAAAATAGTAACGGCATTTATTGCATGCTTACTACATTACCAGACACCATTCAATATGTTTTACATACATGCTCACTTAATCTTTGGAACGGTTCTGCAAGATAATTATTCCTCTTTTATATATGACAAAAATGGGCACTCAGAAAGTTAAGTATATTTCCTGGAGTGGTAATATTCCTAGTAAGTAATAGAGTCAGGACTTGAACACAGATGTTTTATTCTTTTATTAAGTTTTTAAATTTAATTTCTGGTATAGTTAACATAGAATTTTAATTTGTTTCAGGTGTACAGTATAGCAATTCAACAATTCTCTACATTACTCAGTGCTCATCAAGTTAAGTGTGATTTTAATCCTCATCACCTATTTCACCCATACCCCCACCCACCTCCCCTCTGGTCACTATCAGTTTGTTGGATACAGATCTCTCAGATGCTAAAGTCTATGTTGTTTTCCACTACATAATGTTTCTGCTGATTGCATTTTATTGTAATTACTTATACTCCCAGCCAGACAGTGGAAAAACATATCATTGGTGAAGTATGGAGAAAGAGAAATAAGATTTTGAAACACTGCATATTGTGAAGTAGTTTTAAAAATGTGAGTTCTAGAAACAGATCTGATGTCAGATCCTAGCCTAGCCACTTACAAAATGTGATTTTGAGTAAATAAGTTAACATCTCAAAATGTGTTCTTCATCTGAAAAATGGGATGATAAATCTATCTCATAGGTTTGATGTAAGAAATAATATAAATAAAGCTCACATAATAGATCTTTAATAATGGGAGCTGCTATCATACTATAATCGCTAAAGATTATATGTGGTGTTGATGGTATTGATATCACATTAATGTATTTCAGGGAGAAAGAAGAGTAGATTAGAAGTTAACAGAATGGATTGCCATATCTAGTTTCATTTTTTTTTTTTTTTTAAAGATTTTATGTATTTGACAGAGAGAGACAGTGAGAGAGGAAACAAGCAGGGGGAGTGGGAGAGGGAGAAACAGGCTCTCTGCTGAGCAGGGAGCCCGATATGGGGCTCAGTCCTGGGACCCCGGGATCATGACCTGAGCCGAAGGCAGACGCTTAACGATTGAGCCACCCAGGCTCCTCCCCTACCATATCTAGTTTCATTAATTGATTTTGTTGATCACATTTTTTTGTTGCATGTCAGTACTATATTAGGAACTGAGGGTAATATGCACATGATAAGGGAGGCATTGAGTTCTCAGTCACACATTCCCAGGCCTCCTTTTAGGTGAATATAATACCTCTTAACTAGAAAGAGATTGAGAATTTCTGGCTTGGAAGGAAATTAATGCAATGTGCAGTTCACTCCCAAAAAGCCTGAAGGAAAGTTGAGATTTCTTAGCATGGACATTAAAGGCCATCAAGTTCAGCCTGCTACACTTCTTTTCAAGAAGCCTGTCTGTGCCGCCTCAGGCTCCTTGAACTAGCCCTATGGCTTCTGCCTTATACAATGGCCCTGACTCTAGAGGACAGAGCTTCCTGATTTTCAGAGGTAAATTAAGTGATTTGCCTTAAGAATCACAGGTTGACTGTCTTTGTTTCCATCTTTCTGTCCTGGAATGAGAAGGTTGCCCACTGTGGGGATCCTGGGCATTTTTCTTATGAATCACCACCAGTTACTTATTGTTGTGTTGCTGGAGTGTCTTGTATTCTTTATGTCTAGTCTTCAAGAGTAGTACTCAGTGCCTCTAACACTTGCCCTGTGGTGCTGCTGCCACAGTGGGTAGTACAACAGTACTTCTCCCAAAGTCTCTCAGGCTTCAGACATAGATGATCAGTAAATGATCACCTTACAGCCACATGTTACTCCTCACGAGCTGTAGAGTGGGACCCTCTGAATGAGACTACACCAGCTCTTCCCAGCCAATCTATCCATACACGTTTGGACCTAAAATAGCCTCTAGCATAATAATGATGTTATAGGGGCACCTGGGTGGTGGCTCGGTTGGTTAAGTGTCTGACTCCTGATTTTGGCTCAGGTTATGATCTCAGGGTCGTGAGATCAAGCCCCACGTTGGGCTCCGTGCTGGGTGTGGAGTCTGCTTAAGATTCTCTCTCTCCCTCTCCCACTCCTCTACTCCCCCTCCGCCCTCCCTCTCTAAAGATAATAATAATAATAATAATAATGACAATTAATAATAACGATGATGACATTATATTAGAAAAAGGATACTTAGGCCATACAATATATAGTCTTTGAGGTATGGGGAGAAAATAGTAAAAGCTTTTCATCTCAGCCTTTTAAAATTTCTGTTTTCTAGATTCAGTTCATAATTATGTATTAGTCTATGCACATAGTTTAAAACCAGCAAGTACACATAGAAATATATATAATATTAAAGGTACATAGTCGAATATCTTAGAAACATGTGTACACTCAGAAAAGGTAAGTGACCTCTTCAGTAAATAGGTCATTTTCTTTTTAGTACTTTGACAGTTAGATATGAAGATTAGCATTAGACTCATTATTATATGGCTTTAATACGTCAAGGCCTGAATGTAAGCCTGAATGGTTATGTCTCTATTTATTTTTCAAGTGATGACTTTTTGATCAGAGGGTACTGTAATTTAGAGAGATGGACAGTGGTATAGCGTGGTTGGTCTGTAACCATCAAAATGAGAGTGGGAACTCTTTTTAAGAAATTGCTTTGTGAGAGCTATGAGTCTAAGAAGCAGATTGCAAAAAGGAGCAGTAGTGGCAAATGAAAGATCAGTTTGTATTTGTGAGCTTAGGTGAGAGGCTTTTCTTTAGATGCTGGCTTTTAGCCACATAGCACTATTAACATTTAAACTCTTTGTAATCTTTAGATGGGGGAAAAAAGAACGCACTGTGATCATTGTGATATTTAAGCAGAGAAAAATGAAGTGAGAATTGGGAAGTGCTGCCTGGTCCCAGGTTGCTTTTGGTTAGAATGTGAGAGTCAAAGCATTTCATACCTTCAGATTACTAGAGAGAGCTTACGTTTCTTCCAAGAGCTCAGAATGTTTTGCACATGTTCCCTTGTTAATTCTCACAACATTCCTGCCAAGAATGAGTATATTGTGAAAGAAAGAGTTCACTTTCCTTGGCAACAGACCACCAGAAGATTCCCTTTTCTCCTTCATCTTTTTTTATCAAGTTACACCTTAAGCCAAAATGTTGTAATCCGAGCTATGGTCATCTCCTTCAGAGAACTTCATTTCGAAGATATTTGGATATTTATGTGAATATCTATATGAGGTCATATTTTTATGTTTAAAGTGCCTTGTGGGACAGTAGGAAAGTTTGTTGCCTTTTCATAGGATTTCTTGTTTAAAGACTTTTTCTTCATAAGACTTTTTTACAGAGAGTTACAGCAAAAGAAG